ACGCCACTTACCATGAAGACATTTTTACATAGGCAAGACTATTAGAATGATTTATAACGCTATTGTCTTAAACTGCAATTTTGCTGAAAGCAACAGGAGCAAATTGTGTGCATCATGGGTAGCTTGGGTTTGCTCCTGGTTTATAAGAGCCATTATTTTAGTCTTCTAATCATTAAGATTTATGTTATGTAGGTGAGAAATATTGTAGGTATATCCTTTATCCAAATGTCTTTCAGAACAAAAATTAAGCATTATATATACTGTCACTTAAGGAGATACCCTGATATCATGACGATGAATACAGTAGAAACAGAGCAGAACTGTGTCAATAACTGTAAATAAACCCTGCAATTCTTTCTTTTCAAATGTCACGTTTGTGGAAAAACTGTTGGTTACTCATGCTGGCTTTCTCCATCTATTTGATAAATCAGCTTTCTAAGCATATAAAAATTCATTCTTGGTGTATCTTCTGCAATCCAGTGGTGCCCCAAGACTTACAGCTAAGAAGGAATACGGCTGTTGTGAGACAGGGTGTCATGGTTTAACCCCAGCAGGCAACTAAGCACCATGCAGGCGCTAGCTCACTTCCTCCCTCCCAGCAGGACGTGGGAAAGTGAGAAAATATGTGGGTTGAGATAAGAACAGTTTAATAATTGAAATAAAATAAAATAAAATAAATAATAATAAATTGTAATGAAAAGGGAAGTAACAAAAAGAGAGAAACAAAACCCAAGAAAACCAAGTGATGCAAATTAAAACAATTGCTCACCATCAACTGACTGATGCTCAGCCAGTCCCCAAGCAGCAGCCCCCTGGCCAACCTTCCCCACTAATTTTATTGCAGAGCATGATGTCATATGGTACGGAGTATCCCTTTGGTCAGTTGGGGTCACCTCTCCCAACTGTGTCCCCTCCCAACTCCTTGTGCACTCCCAGCCCACTCGCTGGGGGGGTGGTGTGAGGAGCAGAAAAGGCCTTGGCTCTGGGTAAGCACTGCTCAGTGATAGCTAAGACATCCCTGTGTTACCAGCGCTGTTTTCAGCACAAATCCAAACCACGGCCACATACTGGCTACTATGAAGAAAATTAACTCTACCCCAGCCAAAACCAGCACACAGTGGAAACAACTTTCAGCTGTCCGAGAGCAATGGAAAATCATGGAGACCTGGGCTCCTAAGATGATGGTAGGCAGCAGCTCAAATGGGGTGCGTAGGGGGCCGAGTATATTTGAGGTCCAGCTGAAAATAGGACTATACTTCTCAGTCCCTAAGGGGCTTTGCTGCTTTATAGGCAGCCTGCACATACAGTGATAGCCCATGCCCTTTGAAAAGGTATGCCCAAGCTCTGCCAGGAGGCTTAAACCCACTTTTCTGAATGACACGTGAAGTTTTCACCTGAATTTGCACACAGATAATATATACAGTGTGCTCCCCTTCACAAAGCTGTGGTTACCAAATGGTCTGGAGGCCCAGAAAAGTAGGTGTTAGAGAGGACATTTCTTCCAAGCAACTGAGTGGGACAGGTGTTCACACCTTAAAGTGATAAGCTCATTTCTTCAGGATTCATTCCAACAAGACGACAAAAAACCCTCTCCAAACCTAAATGATTTTTGATTGTCCAGATAATGCATGATGTATGTCCTAATGATGTATCATATACATGTCCCAAATGTTCTAATTCTGGAGGTTTTATCAGACCACCTTTGTAAGTGCCACCAACTGCTTGCTCACGACAGGTGAGTCAGTGCTCCGAGCCATTGCACATACAGCAGTTATTGGTCTGCAATAAACTTCAACAGAGCGAAGTCGTTCAACCAGGTAAATTATCATGTCCAGTTCATACTACACAGGGCTGATGATTGCACTTCTGAAAACCATTTTATATTGCCTTTTAGTCATCCTTCTCAAATGTTGTGACAATGTTAGTCATAAACTGCACCTTCAACACGAACAGGATGTTTTATCTATCTGCCTACCCTCCTTCCTTTAATACCATTTCCCTGGTCTGCTGCAGTTACCTTTTGTCCTGATGGCCTGAGGGCTAACTGCTGGATGCCAGAGTGGTTCACTTGCTGGCCAGAAATGTTAATTTTCACAAAGACCTTTTCAACCCTGAATCATTTTTTTTTTTCCTGATATGAAGTTTAAAAATAGCGAGATTTACTCTTGAGTACAGTGCACGGCGTTTGGGAGAAAAAGTTAGCTTTTATCTGTCAGACTTCCCAGACAGGCAGCAGGGAACTCTTAAAGGTCAATGGGCCAGGCAAATGTGTGGGGAGGCCAGTTTTTATTTCCACAGGCAGGAGTGTTCCCACCACAGAGGCACTAAAGGGTTAGAACTTTCAGCAGTGAACCTGAGTGCAGCCATTACGTTTTGTGCAATGAAAAGGGTTCTTGTCTTGACAGGCTTTGCCATATCTAACTAGTGATAGGGATTGGATTCTTGACAGTGAACAACAGCTCAGCTGCATTTTTAGATTTTTTTAGATCCCTTCTGTTGTCCATCGCAGCACCGTTAACGATTTGTAGGATCGCTGGAAAAGAACCATGCAAATTCCTGTGCACGTGGTGTCATTTTATGCTTCCTCCTGTTTCGTTCCTTCTATCTGCTTTAAACCAGCAGGAGGAGAGGTGGGAGAAATACAACATTTCTTTTATTGTCTCCAAGTGTTTAAGGATCGACAGGCATCATTTCTTCACTTAAATGATTGCTCTTTGCCAACACAACACAAACAAACACACAAAGTAACACAACAGCTTACCACAGTGTGCTGCAGAGCACCAGGGCAGCCACTTGAGTGTGGAGGCAGAGAGGAGCGCCAGGGGAAAACCTGTCCATGCTTTCCTTCAGATGGTGAAGGCATAATTGTGCCCAGCAAAAAAAAAAAGAGAGAGTCATTACCAGTCTTTTTATGTCATAGTTAATGCTACATTTAGCGCATGGCTGTTCTGGTGAGCAGAGGCCTAACGAAAGATGAGGCTGATGGAGAGTGATGGCTGGCAGCACAGCCCAGGGAGCTGCACTGTCGGGAGTGGCATCCCCCAGGGAGATGAATGACAGCAGGGTGCAGAGCAGGGCACCGTTTTGGCGATGCCATGCAGAAGTTGAGTGTACGATGGTGGCCCAAGGGAATGCATGAGGTATAAACCAGTTTCTCAGTGGGGCAGAGGGGCTGTTCCTAGGTTGTGGTTTGCACCACCTCAGTGACCCTCCTGGGAAGGATGAGGACTTGCTGAGCTGAAGGAGGACTTTTAATTGCATGGTAACACCAACTGCTCTCACGAAGGGAAATGTCAGTGCCACAATGTGGGTACCATGCATGTACAAAGCCTCATGTCCTCTGAACAGACATCATGGAGAGTGCTCAATGAATTAGGACAGAATTTAAGCTCTTCCTAAAGCATTTCCCCTCTGGCATCCTTTGCTTTTTGTATAACCCCGTGGTCTGCTCAGAGCAGTGACCGTGCCTGCCTTGGCAAAGAGCAGAGCTGTGTGACAGCACTCATTCGGACAAGAATACAGCTCCAGAGCCCATCCTTGTTCCTACACAGCAGCAGCCTCTTGCAGAAAGCCTCTGTTTGCCAAGGGCTGGATCTGGTTCTGTGGGATATTTGGGTGTGCATTCTCCTTCCTATAAGAAAATAACCTTATTCAGTACAGCTTGTAGGTGGAGGAGGTGATGGAAGGAAGGGAGGGTTGCTGCTGGCAAACAACCAAATCAAGACTTAAATACAAATTCTCTTGCTGCTTGTGAGAAAGGCCAAATATACTTTCTAAAAAATGCATAGACCCTTCAGTATGTGTGCTTGACTTGGGACTCTCTAGGACATTTTAGGGATAGGTTGTGCCTGCCTTTTGCGTGGAGAGGCAGGAGGGTGCCTTGGATCTGCCTCTGGGCATCCCTGTGAGTGGCTGTCCTTGCTTCCTCGTGGGGAGAGCAGAGCTGCCCAAGGCTGGCGTGGTGGGCGGTGCCCTCCCAGTCCTCCCAGCAGCGGGGACCTGTCGCCAAGCAGGGGTGCTGGTGGCAGCCAGGGCTCACCAGGGAGAACTCCCCTCAGGGGGTTAATGCTGCTCCCTGCTGACACAGCCCGTGTTCCACTTCTCTGATTTACTGGTCAATTTGATCAACCATTTAATTTTGTCAAAATCATTGACAAAAGACCATTAAAAGGAGAGTTATGCCACTTATCCGCTCTATGGCTTTGGCTCATTTATTTTAATTAGCTGTAACAAATTCATGGTTAAACAAGGCTCGAGAGGGTGCTATCTAAATGTGGTACTCATGGCATACACAGGACCATTAACAAAACACTTCTCCACAGCTTGACTATGTTCTCCCCCATCTAGTTTGCAGCTCATTATAGCACTAGAGATAGGAAACAGAATGTAACACACAATTAAAATGTGAGCCTGTGTCCACAGATGATTCAATAGAAATAAAAGGCATTAAGCTGGTAAGAGAAGCAGGAGAAAGTCCACACAATAAAAACATCTCATTCAAGCAGAGTCCGGAGGAAGCTATCCCTTTGCTTTAAGTGCATGCATAAAGTTGGGGGTAACAAGAGTATTTGGGTCCTGATCCACCAAAACATTAAAAAATACAAACTGATAACAATTCAATGCCTGTTGTTCTCATTAAGGATGCTGAACCCCACTGCGTAATAACAATTTCTAGCTTGCCCTGTTGGTTGTCATAGAAATAGCACAAGCAACCACTTACTTTGGTAATAGGATTATAGATAGTGTCTTCTGTTGTTTTAGTTTTTCTTTTCAAAATTATACTGATGCTTTTTATTATATAAGTAGATATCTGCAGCCATTGCAAGTTTAATTTAATGTGTGTTAGGTTAAGCATGCTAGAGGCATGCATAGAATTTAATGGTTTTTTCAATATTGTTACTCTCCAAAATATAGAAAAAGTATAAATAGCCAGACATGAACTTAAAATGGTGCACACCAAAGATAAGCAAACTAATCCTGTCTCCCTCTATTTGTCACAGGTGGGACAGTCCTCTGATTGATCTGTTTTTCTCCAACCAGTATCTTCAGATCACAACTACTGTGCCATCAACTTCACTGTATGGGTTTGGTGAACATGAGCACAAGTCCTTCAAACACAGCATGGACTTCGTTACCTATGGCATATTCAGCAGGGATCAGGCACCAACGGTAATACACTTCATGCAACGCTTTGTCCTAACTTCTGTCACCAAAAGGAGGTGGGGAGGTACAGCTTTGCTGAAGGAGCACCTCCCTCTGTATGGTCACACTGCTAATGTGAATCAATGGCAAACTCAGAATGTCACAGGTTTTGCAGGTGTCATAAGTGCTAATTAAATGGCAAAACCATGAGTCATTTTGAGGGGCCTTTGAAAAGGTTCATCACAAGCTCCCTCATGGTGCAGTTAGTTTTCAGAAAAAAGTATTTTGTGTGCCAATTTCCTAGTTCAGGAAGCATTTAATTTTGTGCTTGGATCGATCCCTGTTTATCCAAACAAGTTTTTCAGCAGGACTCAGATGTTTGGCTAAACTGTGGTCAGTGGTTGATGAGTCTATTTTAACTAGCAAAGTAGTTCTTACTCATGCCATTTTGGAGGGTTTGGCAAAATATGAAAGGTTTAACTGAGAGAGACTAAAAAGCACCATTGATGAGGCAGAAAAAATAACTCTTATCTACCAATTTCACTTCACACCAGTTTAGATGAAAAAATCCCCAACCTTTCAAAAGAGTGCCTAGCTATGAATGAATTTATTTTCTTGTCTTTGCATATGTACCTAGCAGCCAAAACCTATGAAAAACAGCAAAGTGAAACCTTACCTAATGTGCTGCTTATGTTTCAGCCATTTGCCAACCTCTATGGAGTTCACCCTTTCTATATGTGTGTAGAAGCTGACTCCAACGCACACGGTGTTCTCCTTCTGAACGCCAATGCACAAGGTAAAAAGATATTTGGATTCCCTATGTGGACTGCTACTAATTTACTATTAGTAAATATAAAACCCTGTTTTACTGATTGCTTTTTCAATATGGTACAAATATGAGTGACTGTTCCATAACTAAGGTTCCAGGAATTACTATAAATTTTTCAAAGGATTTTCATTAGTATGACTGTTTAACAGGGTAAGGTATTTTCAGTGAAAACATATGATAAATTTTTTTTTTTTGAAAATAGATGCACATACAGGGAAAGGAGAAGGTGGAAGAAATTTCCTCTGGGATTGGCATAACTGAATCAAATCAATTTAGGTTAGTCCTACATTCTGTCTGTTGAGAATAGTTTTGTGCGTTGCCATGGTCACCTTACTGTATTAATCCAGTGGTATAATTTCAGAAAAGGGGAATCTTCACTCAGTCTATAAAATCAGTTTCCCCTGGCAGGCAATGACTTCCAATAAGAAGATTAAAATAGCATAGAGGAACCCTAAACACAAACTTGTGGTTCCTTTTCATATAAATGAAACTGAGACAAATGGATCTGTGCAGTCTACTCTGTATGGTTTTCTGTGATTTAGTGCTGCACAACGCCAATCTGAAAGTAGAGATTACAGAAACACTGGGCAACTGCTAGCCTATTTACAGGTCCTGTTTGCTCATCCAATCATACCCACAAAGCACTGAACATGTAGCCATCTCAGCCTGGGGATGATTTTATGTGCAGAAGAGGCCGGCGTGCATACACCTAGGGTATATTAGGGTAGACTAAAATAGCATAGCATAGCATAGCATAGCATAGCATAGCATAGCATAGCATAGAATAGAATAGAATAGAATAGAATAGAATAGTTCATTTGAAAGGACTTACAATGACCATCTAGTCCCACTGCCTGACCACTTCAGGGCTCACCAAAAGCTAAAGTATGTTGTTAAGGGCATTGTCCAATTGCCTCTTAAACACTGACAGGCTTAGGGCATCCGCCACCTCTCCAGGAAGCCTGTTCCAGTGTTTGCCTACCCTCTTGGTAAAGAAATGTTTCCTAATGTCTCCTCTGAACCTCCCCTGATGCAGCTTTGAACAATTCCCACAAATAAGGCAGGGCTTGTTTGTACTGAGAACCTGTTTTTTTCCTTTCAGATGTTTCTCTGAGTCCAAACCCATCTTTAACTTTCCGTACTATTGGAGGGATCCTTGACTTCTATGTCTTCCTTGGACCGACTCCCGAAAATGTAATTCAGCAATACACAGAGGTTAGTAGAGAAGTGCATGTGGCACACAGGGCAGTACCTTGTAACGAATTCCCATCATTATCTGGTAGTTTCAGCAGGTAGCGCAGTCAAAACTTTGTCCTGATCTGTTCATACAAAGCCATAGCTTTAGGTCCATGGGCAACCTGGCATGTGCTCAAGAATCTGCAAATGGTCTGCCTGAGTGAAGCAGACTGGCTGGGCATTCAATGCACATTTCCAGACTTTCTTGCAGCATTTCAGTATTGAGAGCAGGAGTGCGTTAAAGGGATGCAATGATTAGAAAGAAAGTTGTCAAAGATTACTCTTCTTCAGGCCATGACAGTTTTACAGCCTTCACTACATGACCATAACTGTGTTTTGACACTGTGAATGGAGAAAACAAATTAGGCGGAGCACAGAGGATTTGAGAACTTTAGGTCTGCTGGACCTCAGGGATGTTGAATGAACTTCAAAGGCTTCAAGCCTTTATTTGCCAGTGGAATTGCCTGTTGATTTTGGAGCATCAGCCTGTTTTTTACTAATGAAAATCCATGTAATTGCACTAGAGAGCACAGGTGTGAAAAAACTATATATAGTGCTGTCTCAAAGAGCATAACTGCTTGCTTTCTGCTTGCCCAGTGTTTTCCAAAGAGCTGAGGGTACACATGCTAATAGCTGCTTCAGGATTGTGTGTGCAATTCTTATTCAGTGAGGCCTGCCCAGGAAAAAGTGGCAGGTAACATATTTTTTCTGGTCACCAAATGCTGGGTGATGCATTAACTGGGCCCCTGCACAGAAAATGACCACCTCATAACCAAGCTCTACGCATAAAGAAACCAGCACCAACCTAAAGAGCGTGGAGGAAAGCTGAGAAGGGGCATGTCACTGTAAGAAGGGGGATTCATTTGTGCAGACCCTGAGGACTAAGCTTCAACTGGAGGTGCGGAGGAGCCTGCGGTAGGGTGTCCCGGGCAGCCAGAGCTCGCAGTGAGATGTGCATGTGCTCTGCCTTCCCCTTTGCAGTCCCACCAGGGGGCCTGAGGTCTGATTCTCAGCAAACATTTTGCCTTTCCTGGCTTTTGAAAGCCTCCGTATCTTATGCTTACCTTCTTTTGAAATGCCTGAAATAGAAACAGAAACATTGCTTTGGCCCAGGGAAAAAGAGGATTTAGCCCAGAAGGAAAATATTGCTGGGTTCTATTTTGGTGATAGAAGGGAGAAGAAGCCATTTTGGGAAGGCTGGAGCCTCCCCAGGGCAGTGGGCTCTTCTAGACCTTCCTTTGGCGAGCAGAGGTTCAGGCGGTGCCTCCCAGAGAGGTGGGAGGCTGCTGGTGCCCCTCCACATCCTGGCTTGGGAGAAACTGCTTTGTCACACAGAGGTTTCCAGCTCCCTCTGTGCATCCTCCCCTCCAGCCACCTCTGACCGCAGTGTCTCAGACCAGCCAGCAAACTGGGTTATGGACTTACACATTGACAAATAAAAAAAAAAAAAACAAAGAAAGAAGAAGTAAAGTGACTGCCTCGATAGCCACAGCTGTGATCCCTTCCATGAAAGCACCTATTTCAGGGGAGTTGCTGCGGCAGCACAGTGGAGATTAGAGCCATCCTCGTTTCTTTTCAAAGTCTTTTGCTGGTGTTTGAAGGCAGCATTTCTGTGGCTTAGCAGGTGGCCAGCAGCTGAAAATAAAACGAGAGAGTTCTCACCCCCCAGCTGATGGGTACTCGCAGCTCACTTTCCACCCCTGCCTCTCTGGAAATGGAGCTGGAGCAAAGAAAACAAGGTAAAGGGGAGCCGGTGGGCGTCCCCTAACTAGACATGTCACATGCCAGGACAAAAAAATCCTCTGTTCTCTATTCTTTGAGCTTGCACTCAGCTCTCTAGGGAATCTTAAAGAATGCATGGTAGCAATTTCACAGTGAAATAATAACTTCTTCAGCAAACATCCTGAAATTCCCGGATTGCAAATGTTACAATTACCATATTAGTAGTCTCTAGGGTAATGATTTGACTTTTATGTACAAGATATGTGGGAAGGTGAAGGAGACGGAAAAAACTTTATTTTTCGGTTGTTTTTTCTGTCACACTGAGAGGACTGTCCCACAGGGTCATTGTCACATCTTGGGGAAGGAGAGGGGGTGGAAAGGAGCAGTGTGACCGATGTCCGCAAGGCACCACTCAGCAGCATCCCTCCACTTTCTTGGCTGTTTGCATGGGTCTCGTCTGGGAAGTGATGTTTTGGGAGCTCCAAGCTGCAGAGGACCCTGGTGGGGCCAGGCTGCCCTGCTGCAACGAGCTCCTTGTGGGAATTGCTCCTGCCTCCTCCCTGTTCAAGCATCTGCCTAAAATCACTGCATGGGGCTTTTTGCAGGGACCACCCATTGCATCGTCTCCAAGATGGCCCCGGTGGTATGGCAGGGTGGCCAGGTGCCAGCTGGTGCATGGCTGTTGAGAGCAAGGGAGTTGTGTCCAGATCAAAGTGCTCCACACTTTTCTCAAACAGTCTGTGCTGTTGCCTTCAGCACCACTTCAAGACCTGAACAATGCACCCTAGCCCCTGCCATGCTTGTTTCTGTGAAGGATTTAGGAGTTTAGATCTGCTCAGTGGTTTCATGCAGCTCCCTCCAAACCAGTGAGTTAGGATAGCTTTATAATGAAGCTCTTTACTGGGTCTCTGGAGCAAGCAAGCTTTCCCCATGCACCTCTCCAGGTTCCTTTCAGCACCCAGGGGTGGCCCTCAGGCTCTTGCCCAGAGCCGCTACTGCATGGCCAGCTGGAGGCAGCTGGACTGTGCCAAGAGTTGTGCTCCCTGCGTGGTGATCAGGGATGATCGCAGCTGCCCTGCCAGGGCCACCAGCCTCTCTGTGCGTCCTCAGGGTGAGGACAGGTGGCAGTGAAAGCCACGGTGGCCCTGGGTGCGAGCTTGGTCCAGGCTAATCTGCTTTAAATGGGCTCCAAAGGCAGTGCAGGGAGTAGGAGGGGATCAGAGGCCTGTATGCCAGTCCCTCTGTCCCCCCTGCTGTGTCTTGCACAGAGCAGGGGTGGGCTGGAGGATGCATCCTGCCAGTGGCACCACAGCGCAACAGCAGTGACAGCAGTGATAGGGCATGTGCTGGGCATTGTGCAATGGCAAAGAGAACTCTCCATCCCAATTCTCCTGTCCCTGAGCCCGGCTGCGAGGAGTGCTGCTCCTGGTGTGTCACAGTCACAGCTATATATGTATTTGACAGTAATCACACTTTTCTCCTGCTACAGCAGAGGTCCAGTGTGCAGAACAGTTACATAACACTTTTTATGGCAAACGCCTCGGTTCGCAGGAGGATGGGAAAAAGCAGTAACAAGCTAAAGAGCTGAGCCGTTGAGCTGAGCCTAGCTGAGTCTCTGCAGCCAGACCTAATACCAGAGTACTGTTGCCAAGCCCACCAGTGGCCTTTCAGGACCGAGTAACAGTGCGTAGCAGTAGCATATGAGCGCCATAACAAGACACTCAGGAAAGTTATAGTTCAACAAATGGACATTTAGCAGCTGTTGCATGGAGTGAAGGCCATAAATTTGTTATTTTATCACCAATTATCCGGTGACAAGCTTTAAGAGAGCATACTGCATGTCTCCTAATTCTGTTTTCAGAGCAAATTTCTGATTTACTTCCTCCTTATAGAACCATAGGATAGTTCCGGGTGGAAGGGACTTCAGGAGGTCTCTAGTCCAGCCTTCTATATAAGATGTAACTGCTTGAACCTACAGTTTATCACAGATGATTCAGTGAGAGTCTAGTAATTGAATTCATGGGTCCCCCAAGAAAGATTTAGCAGCTGATAAGTGTTTGTGCAGCAAAGAACTAGGATTTAAGACCTTGGCCTTGAAAGTCCTTAAAATTTTTAGTCTCCTGAGGCTGTGAGTATCTTCTTAAGTTTTGGGCCTTTCTGCTTGCTCTCCTAAAACGAAGTTCAGCTTCTGTGCATAGACTTTGAGGGAAGGTTAACCTCTGCCTGACTAGGTGCCCACAGCATTCACCTGCCTGCCTCAGCTGTAAGGGATGAGCTGGATATGGATATCTGGGCCATAGGAGCACCTGTGAATTTAGCCATTTTGTGACTATCCAAACACACTATTTCTGAGTCTAAATCCAGAGCGTTTGCCCACATGGATTTTTATGGTTTCCTCCTACAGCTCTTCCTTAAAGAAAGGAAGTTTAAACAAATATCAAGCTTTAAGAGTCATTTTATATGACTGATTAGGGTGCAAGATTAGCAATCTTTCACGTTGAGCCCCTGTACCTGCATTGCTGGGGATCTCAGATCCTTTGTAAACGTGGGAAAGATTTTATCTGTCTCTATGGTCTCTATGATATATAGGGCATAACTTTCAGCCAACTCTCTCACAACAAAGTCTTTGGTCATAGTGTTAATAGAATAGGATCCCGATTTACTATAAGCATTTATTTCTTAGTTGATATCCTTGATGCTCATAGTAATAATGTTATTTGTCCAATATCTCAACACAGGGAAAGTGAATACAGATCACCTGCACCCTGGGCACATGTAGGTATACATGTTTCCACTGAACATTTTTCTTACTGTAAAATGCTTCCAAGGTACCTCCTAGATTCATCAGCTCTCAGGTGCATCTGAAAAGAGTGAAAAAAAAATTGCATAATGCCAAGTTATGTAAACCTGGAAAAACTAACTGTGGATTTGTTAAACAACACCAGGAGTTATTTAAGAACCAAGTGCAGGAGGAATTGTGGAACAGAAAATAGGATCTATTTTTTTTTTTCTGCTTCTGCACTACTGTATCTTCCCATTTTTTTTCTCAGTTTGGATAGCCCATATGTTAGCTGTTTCTGCATTTGTCATGTTTTCCTCCCTCAGTTCCCCTGCTATACCTCATTTACCTTTTCTGATTCTATAGGAGTCAATTTTGCCAAGCAGGCTTTCTCTGCCTACTGCATTTTATGATCATTTGTATGCAGAACACAATTTATATGAATTAACTAGATTCTAAATATATATCAAATCCAACATGAGTTTTCAGGTTTGCAAAATTACATCCCTGCCTCTGCTGATCCATCTGCGAGTAGGTACCATATGTCAGTTACTTTATCAGGAAGCTTCAGGGGGACCCATTAGAGAGAGTCCGCAGCATAATTAGAAAAAAGAACATTTGTTTTCCCAGCTGCCCTGTTTTCGTCCTTCCTCTTCAAATGTTCTGCTGATTTCAATTAAGCTCACCATAGATGTGCCAGCCTGGTGAACCCGGGAAACTAATTGCTTTAAAACTTAGTATCTTGCTTGCAAGGTGGATTTTCTTCAGTTGGTCCATCTGTAATCCCAAACTGCTCAAGAGATGCTGTCACAAAGTACTGCCTTGCCGTGGGACAGCTCTGCGGTCCGCAGGTGAGACAGCACAGTCACGTAAGGGTGAGCAGCTGAACTGCAGCAAACCCCAGCACTGGGGATGTGCCCTTTGGGAAGGATCCTGGCTGGCACACCAGTGGCTGCAGCTCCACCTCCAGCCTTGCATCCACCTGGACAGGGCATGGGGGCAGAAGCAAATGCCCATCCAGCTCTTGAACCACATTGTATTGGTGATGTCCCGAGCTGACTGTCCTCTGCAGCCAGGAATGACCCCGGGTATCGCAGGACTCGGAGCAGGGCTGCCCAGCAGTTCCCGCTGCCTCTGCCCAGGCTGGTCACCCCCGTGGCAGTTCCCGTTTCCCAGCCCGCTCAGGGAGAGGCTGCAGATGCCACGCAGACATCCTGCCAGGGCACTGGGCTCTGCAGGATTAACATTTATCAGCTGGTTTTCCCTCTTCCTTTTGTCCAAGGGGAGAAGCCTGCCCACAAAACATTTTATTTCATTAGGGAGTTCTTTTGTTTTGGTCTGTCTTTCTAACCTTGTTTGTAGAGGTCAGTCTCTGTTTACAGTAAAGAAAGTGAGGGCAAAATGTGCATCTGCTTTACGAGCACAAAGTGGTGGTGTTCACAGAGCTAATCTTGCAGCCTTGGCTGGTCTAAAACAAGCTCTGCTGCCACCTCAGATGAATTCATCCTTAATGTAGTGAGTACGGTTGTGACAGAGAAGCAGACTTCTTGCCCTGAGGCTTGCTGTGCTCTGCTGGACACCTCAGTGCTCTTTCACAGGGTGTCTAGGAGATCGTCCCGAGCCATTGTGCCCCATTCAGCTCACCATGGGAAACCCCAGCAGAGCTTGAAAGGTGGTCAGGTGTGTCAGGAAATAACTAACAGCATGTGTAACCAGATGAGACTGCACTGTGGTGGCAATGGTGTGTCACTGCTCACCGGCCTTCCCCCACACGGTAGCGGGCCACCTTCATCTGTCCAGGGCCTCTCCTGGCAAGGGCGCAGGGGCATGAACCAAAGGCTGAGTCCAGCTATATCAGGAGCATGCTGCTGATAGCTGCTCTTGCTTCCTCTGAAGGGATTAGCCTCCAGCTAAGTTGGAGGTGAAGTATGTGTTGAGGAGGGTGAAGAGAGTTAAGTCTGGTGGAACGGGACGAGCAGCAGGCGTGTGGGACAGCTGTGCTGCTCAGCTGGAGCACCCTTCCTGCAAGGACTCAAACCATGAACCCCACCAGTTGTTCTGGCCTCCTCCTGCTTTTTTTTAGGTGAGATAGCAGCATCCCAAGAAGCGAAAGCATACTGCGTAGCCAAATTTGTAATGCTTAGTGCTTAAAGTTTGCCTGTCTGCCCACAAACCGTTCCCATTTGGAAGCAATTTACCCTGTCTCTTCCCTAGTTTGGGTGCATTAAAACATCCTCTGCTTCTCCCCGCTTCTCTCCCGCATCTGTTTTTCTGTCCGGTGCAGTTTGTACATCCCACCAGCTCTAGCATCCATGAGGTACTTTAGAGTTTTTACAAGCTCAGCGTTGCTTTCCCAGATCAGACTCTTACTGGGGAAAATCCCATAGGAACATGCCTTTACGCATTGCAATCTCTAGAGAGCTTCGTAATGCAACAGATAGAGAGTGCCAGGAGTGCCTTGTTTTCTTTAATTAAAGCAAATACGAAGTTTGGTTCTTGTTCACTTTGCGTAGTCACCTAAGTACAGAGATCCACAAGTAAATAAGGGAGGAACAGCTATTTAGCCAAAGGCAGTCAATAGCTGCAACTGATTAATGAGTCATGGGTGCTTACTAGCTACTTGATTTTCATGTATTGCCTGCAAGGATGCTAGAAATACTGAACTAACATTAATTTCATGGGATCTAACTGTTTAAAACTGGAGTAAGGATTTCAAGGTAGACACCAGTGTGTACTAATGAGGCAATGCCAGATTTCAGCTTATTTCTGTAACAGACACATCATGGTTGCTCCCTGTTTGTCCCAGGTTGCCAGAGCAGCTCTCTCCAGGGAAGCAGAGCAGGATGCCTCGCTCCCCTGTGCTCTCAATCGAGTTTCCTCATGCAATTTACAGCTGGATTATGTGGAGCCAGTGGAAATCAAATATTTATAAAATCATATTTAACTCATTATCTCATGTTTCAGTTGAGAATTTCAGGACCAAACAGTAATGCCAACTTTGAAGAGGTTTGTCAGTGCCTGGTAACACAATACTGTGGGCCAGCAATAAGAGCAGTCAGTCATAAGTAACGACATTTCATCAGGGTGGTGTGTAAATATAATTAAAACTTCAGAGAGCTCAAGTAAACATCAGACTCTTGATGATTCTGTCCAGCTAGATGTGGCAGAGAAATTAGCAAATATGATGTTGTTGTGTACTGTCAGAGATTTGTTTGCTGTTGACCGAGGGCTTGTGGACTTGACAAGGGTCAGGCTGTGCAAGGCTCCATGCTGGGCTTCTGTTGGTGTGCACCATGTAAGTGAAGGTGGAGACCCCAGTGAGACCCTCATTTAATGTTAGCCTGGGTTTTATGCGTGGTGTCTTCCACTGGGATGTTCTTAGAAGTGGCACTCAGCGTGGGCATCACTCAGAGCCTCCTCTAAGGACAAGGGTCCACCAGGAGAAGCGCTTTTTTGAAGCCAAGCGTCATTCTGAGAAAGGAAGGGATATTTCATGGGTGTGTGACACCTGTGCCCTGACCTTCGTGGCTTAAATAAGCTGGGAGCCTCTCCTGATGTTTCAGACCTCATTCAGTTCTTTTTTTTAGGCCATTGGACGCCCACACATGCCTGCCTACTGGTCTCTGGGATTTCATCTCTCTCGATGGGGATATGGCAGCCTTGATGTGTTGAAGAAAACTGTCGATCGCATGCGCTACTATGATATCCCATATGTAAGTATGAATTTTACACTGTGCATGCTGATTTTACAATCGAAACTGAGAAGAATAAAGTTATAATAGAGGAAAAATAATTATCCTACGAAGAGAATTGTAGAATAAAAGGATGTTCATAATCTTATATAGTGGTTTTCGCGTGTAATATCTTCAAAATACTTAAAAGAACATTTAAAGTGGGCTTTGAACATGAGGTTTAAGTGCTGGCCTTGGCTGCACAGCAGGCGGTTCTGGTGTGGATTTACTGTTATGCAGGATGAGGTGCTAGCATTTTAAATATAAATTATGGTACTTCTGATGCCTGTCACTCCAAACAGTTGCTAAACTAGGACTTCTACATTTCCATTTTGTCCATTGCTACCATGTAAGTTCATAAGAGCTGAATTTGGCCTGACAGTTATTTACAATTATTATAGCCAATCTCTTAGGTTTCATTTAATATGTTAGTTACCTTTTAGAAATGCAGTTGCATACATTCTGATTTTCTGTACCAAATACTTCAATCATAGAATCATAGAATAGTTTGGGTTGGAAGGGACCATTAAAGATCACCTAGTCTAACTCCCTGCAATGAGCAGGGACATCGTTAGCCAGATCAGGTTGCTCAGAGCCCCGTCCAGCCTGACCTTGAATGTTTCCAGGGATGGGGCTTCTACCACCTCTCTGGGCAACCTGTTCCAGTGTTTCACCACCCTCACAGTAAAGAATTTCTTCCTAATATCTAATCTAAATCTCCCCTCTTTCTGTTTGGAACCATTATCCCTTGTCCTATCACTGCACTCCCTGATCAAGAGTCCCTCCCCACCTTTCCTGCAGGCCCCCTTTAAGTACTGGAAGGCCGCTATAAGGTCTCCCTGGAGCCTTCTCTTCTCCGGGCTGAACAACCCCAACTCTCTCAGCCTGTCCTCACAGGGGAGGTGCTCCAGCGCCCTGATCATCTTCGTGGCCCTCCTCAAGCAGGTCCATGTCTTTTCTGTGCTGAAGACTCCCGAGCTGGATGAAGTACTCATGTAATGTTTACTTTAAAAATGTTCAGGATGTCCAACATTTTGATATTGACTACATGGAACGTCGCCTGGACTTCACCTATGATAAAGTGAATTATGCAGGTCTGCCAGAGTACCTCCAACAGCTGAAGAAGGAAGGAATGCACAATGTCGTGATTCTGGTAAATTAACAATGTTGCTAATTATTTCTCCATTTATAAGAACTATTTGCAGCATAGTGTTCATAGTAGTATCTAGGTGGTAATGCACGTGTTCTATTGTAGCAGATTTTCCATTTTTGTCATTTGTTGAGAAGACTTGAAGAACAGTTTCTCACAGATTTCATATTTAAATGTGTTGCATTTATCAGATATCTGTATACCAGCACCATCTCTATACCATAACACTAATTCTCTTTCACTTTTTCCTGCTCGGTTATGAGAAATTTTGCCTCTGTTCAGGGCTGAGTAGAGATAGGATTCCTTTCATGCAACTCTTTTCCTGAAAATGAACTTAATATGCACATAAAAATAGCTGAATAGTGGAAAAAATCTATCCATAATCATTCTGGAAAGCTAGTAACTAAAATGCATATTACCTTGTATTTACTTTTTATCCAAATTAATGTAAGATACATTTGTTTGCATGTAAATTTTTGGAAAATATATGTTGAACCTGTAACCAAAACTGACGTATGACCAAACGAATTAATTTAAGTAGAAGTAAAAATCGGAGTTTTCCATCTTCTCCCATCAATTTTTCCAACAAAGTTTGCTATTTCTCTCCAGAGAAATGTATCCTTGTGTCAAAATTATTCTTTGTCACAATAGCTAAGTGAGTGCCAACGGTGGCAAGGAAGTTGGAGACTAGCTAACTACACTGAAATTTAAATAAAAAATTGAATAAAATAAGAAATTAAATTAAAGTCCTTGATAGGTGCATAAGACCTTGCTCTCCAGGGCCCCCAGCAGCGCAGTACTAGGAGGGCTTGCTCACCTGGGAAGGGTCGGGGTGGGAAGGCTCCGGGACTGGGAGCAGCGCATGAAGGGTGCCAAGTATCAGTGCAGAGAAGAAAGGCGTAATTTGTTCTCCATAAACACTAGGGACAAGATAAGAAGAAAAGTGCTTTAAATTGCAGCAGAGAAGATTTAAGGCAGACATTAGGATAAAGCAGCCTGTCTTCAAGGCAAGCCGAGCAGGGAGCCAGCTGCCCAGGGCCGGGGGTCCCTCCCCAAGCTGGTGCTGCGAATGGCTCTGACAGATGCAGCAGGGACAGCTCAGGGTGAGCTGACCCATGGGGGAAGGACGAGACAGTCCCACAGAGTCCCTCTCAGGATTTCTTGCTGTAGTTGCAGTCTTCTATTCTCCTGCTTAAATGGTCAGTTCACACCTTTCATTTGGGTGCTACTATTCTTATTTACCTCAAACTGCCAGTCTCTCATCCTTCTGCTTGCTTTCTTGATATACTTATTTGAACAAGTGCATTCTCCCTCAGCCTTTTTTGCTAGGCTAAATAAATTGAAGTATTTTGTTCTCTTTTCATTGGATGAGGTCTTCAGATCTCATTGTAGTAGCTCTCCCCCACATGTGTCCCAGTTTGAATGCATTTGCCTGTGTGGCAGATAACTGGATTTCACAGCACTCTAGATGATGCCCCCACAGTGTTTGGAGAATGTCAGAAATATTTCCTTCTTTCTGCTAAAAATTGTCTTATATGACAAAGCCCTGCATCACATTTACCTACATTGTATTGTTGGCTCATACTTATAAGGTGACCCATTAATCCAGCTGAATCATAATGCACATAATCCATTAATGTTTGGGACCTAAGTTGATCCAGTCCCTTTAAAATAAGGGCCACGTTCCTCATCTTGTTATGAGGGTCCTGTCAAAGGCTTGTGAGAAGAGAGACTAAATAGCAGAGTCCTAAATTGTGAGACAGTTCCTCTTTCACTTGTGATGGTGTATCAGATGTTTACTGGAGACAAGATAACCCAGAGCTACTGCAGTTTCCTCATCTAAAAATTACATTATCTTGTCAAATAGATAGATAAAGTCAGAAGTGCATCCCTATCCTTACTTTTTCCTCCACAATCAGTTGTAAAGTTTAGCATATGGATGAGGATGGACTAGTTAACACCACAGATACCCACATGTGTTTTCTTTTTAAAATACAGTTATAACATTTGCTGTTCCTCAGTCTGCTGGGTTTTCTTTTGTAGTTTCATTAAGAGTACCTGCTCTATGTTTATTATTGGCCTAATCTTCACTTCTTTGTATTACAATTGCATTCACTGCTAGGAATCTCAAACAAAACCCCACATCCCGAGTGATCAATTACATACTGATAATGGAAATAACAGCCTATATAGTGAGTGCTGTTTGCCAGCAATTTGTCCTCAAAGACGCATTCCTATGAAGGTCCCAGTTCTTCTGCAGCTGTAAATCATGAGAAGCTCCAGGGTGCAGCAGTGAAAACAGCTTCCATCAGCAGAGGTCCAAGGCACAGTGTTTAAACAGTAACAGATCACTAAATCACTCTAATGGAGAGCAACTTTAAGACAAAAATAGTCCAAAATTAACTGGATACATCATTATAAATAACTAACTAAGTGGTAGGTGAGCACATGTGCTGTCAAGACTGAGCGCTCTTTCTTACTATTAGGCAGTTTAGCCTCCCTGTATCATCAATACGGATTAAAAAATTGCGTAATCTCTTAGACCTGTAACATTCAATACCACCTGCCTATTCATTGGTTTATCTCAAAAAAGTTTGCAAGACACGAATATATCAGGAAAATACCGTGAGTTTGGGGTAGTACTTCCTATGCACACTTTTGCCCTTCAGTAAATACATGGTAGTCACCTCTTTTTCATCAAAGTTAGGATGCCTCCAGTTGTTTTGCACTTGCTGCTTGCTGGGTAATAACCTACAGGCAAACAGTCACAGTTTAGTGGGTGAGCTACGTTATCCTCTTACTTATGAGTTTAACTTCAACAACATTTTTAAAGCCTTTTCAGTTTCTCAGAGGGTGCATGCTAGACCGTTGCAAGGAGGTGTTGTAATATAAATCTAAACTCAGCTGTTGGGCAAGGAACATAACAAAAATTCTTAATTCATGCAATGAGCTAATGGGAATCCGGATAGGAAGCCCTTCTTTCCTCCTCCTACTAGCCTGTAATTAAGGACTGCCTTCTGCTCTAGTTCTTTAGATAACCTTGTGAAAAACAATAAAAGCTGATCTACTTTGTTCTTAATTTTTAAAAACTAATGGGAAGTATAGGTTGCCCTGGTAGTGAAGTTTTCTATTTTCACTTTGTTGTAGTTGCTGATATTTCTGTCAAATTCTGACTGTCAGAATACTTTAGTGATGTAAAGTCTTGCCATAAGTTGAGTCATGAGCTCAAACAGTATGAGGGGTTTCATTCCCAGATGACAGCAAAGCCACGCTAACTGCAATCAAGGCAAGTGTAATACAATTTGATATCGAAAGAACACTTTTCTATTTAGATTCCCTTTGGGTAGTGACAGTAATGAATGAGTTCCCCAAGTGTAGCAGATTGTTGCCTGCCTCATGATGATTTCAGGAAATGGGCTCTGATTGCAGTCACTTAAGTGTCATGTAAAACCTCCAGTAAATGGATTTAGGTGAGATGGGTTCAGTCCTCCTCATCTCAGACTGCTACGGTCACAAGCAAAGCGCAGATCCTGACAGCCAGCAGTATTAACACTGGTAATCTGCCCGAGGACGGGATCCTGAACTCGGCTGTGCCACCACCGCTGCGGTGGCTAGTGCCTCACCATCACCAAGTCCAGTCCCTATGCTTGCATCCAACGCTGAGAGCCCTCTGTGCCTATAGTCACCTTGATAGTAGCATGGCCCCATGATTACCGGAGTCTCTAAATGCAGTCCTTCAGCACCTCTCTCTCCTGATCTCTTTCAGAGGCCACTTCCATTCAAGGGAAATTTTGTCTAAGACTGTCAGTACTTGGCCATCATTATCTACTGAATAATGTGCATACTTCAACTGAGTCAGAACAAATGTGTTCTTTAGAAACAAAGAAAGAAGTTCTAAAAGTAACAATGACTACAATGTAAAATGACAAACATTATTACTGAAGAGGAGCTTTAATGAAAGACCTTGTATATCTTTCATTAGATCACAATAAAAATAGAAACATCTAGGAATGGCATGAGTGACAAATTACTTTAAAGTCAATAGCAACATGCTTATGATTCAAAATAATGCTTGATAGCTTTAACATTTTAAAGTCCAGCTCTGTGATCTGTAGAGGCTAAAATTTCCAGAGATCAGTTTTTATGGATGTGCATCAAAATCATCGTTTGGGGCCATAGGTGGAATTGTGTCAGTCTGGATAAGTGCTGGGTGCCCCCAGGTCTCAGGGCAGTCAGTTGCAGTTAAGGATGCCCAGCACCTGCTCTTCAAGAGCTGCTAAAAAGATGGGTTAGGGAAAGTTTAACAGACATGAACTTCCTCCCCCACAAACAACCCGTGAATGCACGGGAGGGTTTTATTCTCTTTAGGACGATAGTAAACCTGCATAATATATTAGATTTATGCACTGGAATAACCTTTCCTCTGAAGAAAACCAGAAGTTTGGATTAGGAGCAGCTAATTAAGCTGACTTCTTCCAGCCTTCAAGTCCCTTGAGAGACATCTTTTCCACAATTATAAGGTAATTATTGCAGATGGACAATTTTCTCTTTTCCAAAGCTGAACTGTTAAACAAGTTAAAAATGTAATGGATACTTATACTCTTTATGGAGGTGATGCTGGAGCTAGATAGTTAAACAGAGTTTTGCACTTAAGGTAGGGATTTAACAGGGGCTTTTGTATTTGAGGCATCGGAGAACATACTTTCCTCATCAGGGCTATAACTATCAGAGGGCTTACAAGTAAATCAGGCAATTAATTCAGGCATTAAAATGAGCTTTAAAACATACCTTTAAAGAAATTTACCATTTGGGATCAAATATTTTTGTTCTTAAGAAGTTTATTAGTTAGACTTCTATCACATTTTAATTAAAGTTCACTTAAATTATTACACAATCTGTAAATGAATGGAAGAATTGTTTCAGTGGTGTTTTTCTCCACTGTGTTTCATAGCTGAAAGGTTTTGCCTTAAGCAGAACCTAAGGGAATAATATTTTCTAAGACAAAAGTAAAGAATTCTCTTCTTCTAAAATGGCTGCAATCTTCCACTGTTCTAAATAACACAAAGCAGATAGCTGCTCCCTATTAGGGATGTATTGCAAAGCGCACTTATGTCTTTTTAGTCCCAGTTGACTGCTGAGCAGGGTTGAATAGCATCTCGTCATTCACTGGTATCTCGAAGTATTCCTAACTTTATTACTTACTGGCATGGTGGGCCATCATCTTCCCCAGGGGCAGATTAGGCTCACTTTCAATGAGCTTGATGGCTACCAATGGCCATCCTGAGGCAGAGAAGCTGATGGGAGATGTCAGCAGCAGCAATAGGAGGTGGTGACCACTCCAAGCAGTGGAAGGGGCAGCATGGATAAGCTATGGGGTGAACAGAGATGTATGATCCCACAGTCATGCATGAGTTGGGTTACTCCCCACCAGACTGGCATAAAACACCCTTGTCTGATGCTGAATCTGAAGAGAGGGCTAACGAGGTCCTTTTGAGGTTGGATGTGTTCCAACTTCACACCCTTTGAGAAATTTTAGTTATGCCAGCATTGAGCTGCTGATGCTGAGGCAGCTGGAATGAGGATTGCCTTGGAGGAAACCCAGAGGTGTCCAAATGTGGGAATACCCAGCGTGGCAACCCACTCTGCCAAGCAGAGACCTCGGCAGGGGGAAAAGTAAAATCTAATGCTTCTCTAAAATCATTTGAACATAGAATGTCTCATAAAATATAAACATGAGGGTATTTAATAATTTCACATTTCTTTTGCCTTATACAAGAAATACTCATGACCTATCTTTAATGATTTTTACTAAATTACTGTGTGCTCTCAACTCTTATTAAACTTTAATGCTGATTTCTTCCAATATTATTGCAATCTACATTAAGAATATAATCCAAATTTTTCTAAAATATACAAATAGAAAAGTAATTGTTACCTTCGGGATTTTGATAATGGACGTGTAATTGTTGTTTTCAGGACCCTTTCATAGCTAAAGATGAAGAACCGGGCACTTATAGGCCTTATGATCTTGGACAGGAAATGGGAGTCTGGGTGAACAACTCCGATGGTGTAACTCCTGCTGTTGGAAAGGTTGGTTTATTAAATTCTTTCATGCATTTGGTCTAGTGCTGCTTCAAAGTGATAAGGTAGCTGTGTAACAGAAATGAGAAGATAACCACATGTTATACCTGTGAACTCTAGGCCTGGCCCCCCGGAGAATCAGTGTTTCCTGACTACACCAGCCCCAGGACAGTTGAGTGGTGGACCCAGATGTGTCTGGAGTTAAAGGATGTCCTTGACTACGACGGGATCTGGATTGTATGTCTCATTATATTTTCCCTCCCTTCTTTTAAAAAAAGAAAATGAGGTTTTTGATACGTGTCTTACTCTCTTTATTAAAGGATATGAATGAACCATCCAATTTCTTAAGAGGCCAGTATCCTGGATGTGCTGTTAATGATATCAATAACCCTCCTTACATCCCTAGTAAGTAAAGTTTCCTTGACAGTCTTTTTTTTTTTTTTTTTTTTTTTAATCCTGGATAGGCTATTTCTTAGAAAAACAACTCAATCCTCTCAGAATTTTCCATCTTTTCCTCCCTATTCTGTGCATTCAGTTACACACTTTTTCAAGACTCCATTGGCTCAGCTGTGGTAGAGTATCAAACATAAGCCACTTTCCTCTGTCACTGGGGCTGC